CCTGACAGTCCTTTCGCTTCTCTCTCCAGGCATCATCGACCTGTCCCAAGTGCCACACCTGCCCGTCCTCGTGCCCCCCACCCCTGGCACCTCTGCCACCACCATGGACCGCATCACCTACATCCCCGGGCCCCCCCAGACCTTCGGCAGCCGGCACAGCAGCTCCCCGCTCTCCCCAGGTAACTTCCTGTGAGAAAGCAGTCAGGCAGGACACCCTTAACCAGTTCAGGGCCATGAGCTCAGCATGTGGGGACAGATGCCGGGAGCCCAAATTCATTCTCACTCGGGGAATCATCCTTCTGGCTCCCTAAAACCAGCTCCTCTGATCCCGTTTGTTGGGGGCTTCCTTGCTTTTCCCCCTTCTTTCCCAAAGCGGCAGCTGGCAAACAGCTTTGTGGAAGGTCGTACCCTGGAGGCAGCGCCAGGACAGTTACCGTGTGATTGCCCGGGTTTCGTGGCACTGGTTGCCCCCATCTGTCCTGCTCCAGGTGACTTGGGATGGAGCCATTCCTAATCTGCTCTGCAGACGCAGCGATGTGAGGAGCAGACGGTGTTCCCAGGGGACAGTCGCCGTCTCTGCAGCCCTTTCACTGTCTTTTGGTTGGGTTTCAGGAGGCCCCACGCACATGACCAAACAGTCGGGATCGTCAGTGTCTGAGCGGGAACGGGAGCGGGAACGGGAGAGGGAACGTGAAAAATCCATCCTAGCATCCACCACGGTGGAGCATGCACCCATCTGGAGACCAGGTAGGCTGAGGAGGAGCTCGGCATCACATCGTGGGGCCTGTGCTAGGTGGAGGTAGGGTTGGGACTATAAAATGAAGAGCTAAAGAAGCCCTTGGTTGTATTTTCCCCCAGGTACAGAGCAGTCCAGCAGCCGTTCATCCTCGCACTCTCACAGCCACCAGCACTCTCCCGTCTCACCCCGCACCCACGAGACCATCCAGCAGCGCCCCAGTGTGCTCCACAACACGAGCATGAAGATCATCTCCTCGGAGACCCCCACCCCTTCCGTCCTGCGGTACGTCCCCCTGCCACGGTTCCTGCTGCTTGCCTGGACCCCTGCACCAGGGCAGCCACCGTAGTTAATTAATGAGCATCTCGTGGGGCACCTCTGAGGTGGAGCGAGGGTTGTTTTGGCCTTCGGTCTCAGCAGGAGCAGATTTGGGGCTTACAGGGAAGGTGTGATGGGGAGAGGTGGATTTTGGTGCCCAGCTCCTTTGCCTTTTCCTCAGGATTTTTGCTGCTACCAGGAGAGAAAGCAGGAGCATCCCAGGGCTGCCTGTGCTCAAATCGCATAGGCAAGAGGGTATTGCTTCTCTTGCTGAAGGTTGCCTGGTGGTGGAGTTACGAAGGTCTCTGGGATCTGTCCCATGGGTTTTGTTCTCCCTAGTTGATGTGTCCAGGTCACAGCCCATACCCCATGGCCAGTTATTGTGGTGGCTCCATCTGAGCCTTCTTCACCTGCTCCAGCACAGGCCAACCCTACGCTCAGGAGACCTTGACCAGGCGCCAGGGTTCTGCTAACAGCACTCCCCTTTCTCCACACGCCTCTCTCATCTTCACCTCGTCTTCGTTTGCCTTCCAGATCCTCCTCCACCACTACCACATCACCAATCCGTTCCTCTGCCTTCCCCTCGGCCTCCACCCTGCGCTCCTCCATCAGCGCCGTGGACGGCTACGCGGCCCTGATGGACCCGGCCGTCCTGCAGAAAGAGGCCTCGCGGGCGCGGGAAGCCAAGGCAGAACGGCCCCAGACGGAGAACAACGTCTTCACCTCAAAGCTGCCCAGCGGGGCCAACCTCGAACAGTCGCCTTCACCCATTAAAGCCATGGAGTCGAGACCTTTACCTGCCTCTGGACCTGGTTCTTCTCATCACTATAGCAGAGGACAGGGGAAAAGCCAGCAGCACCACCACCCCCTGGACCAGCAGCACGCAGCCTCGGGCCCCGAGCAGCACAGCAGAGAGAAGAGTCAAAGTAAACCCTTTTCAATGCAGGAGCAGGAGCTCCGAGCGCTTGGTAAGACCACCACGACAGCGGCCAACATCGTAGATGTGATTGTCATGTGCCAAATGTCTCATGACAAGGGGCAGCGAGAAAGAGGCTCGCTAAGTCCCGATTTTGGAGTAATTGGAGGGGAGAGGCAAGAGCTGTGGCCTGAAACCCATTTTATTTAGTTATTTCTTATTTTTAGTTGCATGTTTTGGCTATTGGCTTCAACATCTCCCCAAGCATGCTCGTCCCTCTGCTTCCCGGTTGTGTTATTCTGGATCTTTTTAGTTGTGTGTGTTTTAGGGATCTTCCCTTCTCCCACCCTCTTTTAGTTTTTCCCGTTGCCAAGTCCTGTTTTGCAAATGCCGTTCGGTTCCTGGCATTGCTCTTTACAGACAATAGCAATTTGCTAATTCTGATTTCCCCATCATTAGGAATTCCCAGGCAGTCTGTAAGGAACAGTTGTGGGTAATAAATCAAACGAGCGAAGTGGAGAACCAGGAGCAGGACAGGGCTGCTGGCTGCCGGACATGCACCTCCCTGCTCCTGGTCGTACCGCGAGGCGTGCAGGATCTTCGAGGGCTTTGCGGGCTGCTGCGCTGTGCAGCCCAGATGAGGTCCCCTCGCTTGGGGTGACCTCGCTCAGGGTCCTGGTGCTGGAGGCTGCACAAGAGGACAACGCAGACAGGGCTGTCCAGGAATTGTTCAGCCCAGCCGTGCCATTTCCAGAGCAGACCACAGGAACCACCTAACAGTGATCTTGTGTAGGACACAAAAGCGCTGGGATAAGTTTCTCCACAAGGAAGTGCAGGGAGGAGGCTGGATTCAAGGTCTCAGTCATTCTTGATGGGACCAGTCTTCACCCAGAGCATTCATCCAGGCTCCCACCAGCATATAGAAGCAGCAGGCAGCCCACAGGGATTTGATGGGACCCTGTCTTCAAGTCGAAGCGTCTGCCTTGGCTATCAGAGCGGAGGGTTGCTGCCCTACTCCCCTTCCTGGAACCCTGGGGTGGAACGGACTCAGCACCATGGCCAGGACAGGAGAGCTGCTCTCACTGGCCCATCCCAACCCACCCATCCCACCACATGTGGTCCCGGCCCCTTCTAGCAGCGTGCTCCAGGGCCAAGGATGTGCCTCCAGCCACAGTGCGCTGCCTGGCTGAGCTTTTCCTCCACCTTTTTCCCTGGCACTGATATTTCCTCCAGCTGAGTGTTGTGCTGCAGAGGAGAGGGGCAGCTTCTCTGTGGCTGTGAGCTTACAGAAAGAAGCTGGTGTTCCCCAGGACTTAACCGTTGGTTAGGGATCTTTCCAGAGCAGGGCGCTTCATCTTGGATGGATCTGAAGCGTGGTCCCTTGAGTGCTGGGATGCACGGGGCGATGGGGAGTGCTGCATCCCTGTCCCTGGCATAGCGAGATTCTCCACAGGGTCCTCCCCTACCCATGCCCCGGGTACATGCAAGGTCAGCATGTCCGTGCCTGGGCGCCGGGTCCCTGCGGCAGTGCCATGTGTCCCCTGCCAGATTCGCCTGCAGTGGGCGGTTTCTAGGAATTGAGCATTAGGAGGGTAAAGGTCTGTGGAGGCAAAAGTCATGAGTGTTGCCAAACGTGCTCAGCTGGTGAGAGGCAGCATGTGCCTCCTTCAGGACTCCTCCAGGGCGCCTCGTCTGCGGAAGCGTAGCCCATCCGTGCCTCAGTTTCCCCTCGCTGTTGAAGGATAATGGTAGTCCCTCATTCCAGCTCTGCCTGCTTTGATGCAGCTTGAGTCCTTGCAAAGGCAAAGAAAGATTAAGAAGCCTTTTTGCCCCTGCAATGTGCGAGTCTCTGGAGCAAGATTTGGAGTCTACAGGGCCTCGTGCCCAGTTTTCAAGTCCCTCCCAATCCATGCTGGACTTGGAGCATTTCTTTGTAAAGCACTCAAGATCCCCCATGCAGCCACCTCCACTCCAGCACAGCATTGCTCGCCCTCCCGGTGGAGCAGGTTTTTTATTTTCCTGTGTTTCAGTAGGTGTGGGAATTGGGGGGGAACAAATCGTGAACCCACAGGGGTTGAATTTGGTCCCTGACTCTCATGCTGTCACCACAAGCTGCTGAGCGTCCATCTCTGCAGGGGTGAGATGTCACCTCTTTACTGCAGCTGTCACCACGACTGGACATCAGAGGTGGCTCCGGGGGTCCCTGCAATAAGACCTGCCAGGTCTTCCCTCTTCTCTTTTTCCCCCTTTTGCTGAAAGTGTGACTCTACCCGCAAGCCATGGTTGCCACAGCGCCAGGGAAGAGCCAAGCAAGCTCCTGATTTTAACTCCCTTCTGTTTGCCCAGGCTTTCACGGAGGCTACAGCCCTGAGCGGATGGAAGCAGTGAGTCCCGTGAGCTCGCCCAGCCTGTCCCATGAGAAGGGGGCCAAGCTGCTGCAGGACGCGGAGAAAGGGCATGGGGAGCACGACCTGAGGCAGAAACAGCAAGGTGAGGGCAGGGGCTGGCAGTGCCAGCCAGCGCAGGAGAGCCCGAGCTGGCACGAGGCGGGCTTTGTCCGCCAGCTCTTGCTCGCAGTGCCCCAGTGCCGTGCGGGGGTGACATTCGAGGAAGGGGACGCAGATGTTATCTCACGCCTGTGCTTTCTTTGTGCCTCCCCCAGGCTCGCTGAAGGCCTCTGCTCCTGAAGCCTGCGGCAGCCCGACGGCCCCCAGCCCCAGTGCCAGCCCCTGCAGTCCAGCCAGAGCATCAAGGGCATGAACCAACGAGTGGTCACGCTGGCCCAGCACATCAGTGTAATTAGCCTCGTTCTTGCCTTCCCAGTGGGGCTTCAGGGAGGAGGGAAGGGCCGATATGAAACGTGTCTGGTGGGGAAGGACTGGGAGTGATGCTCAGCACCTCTGGTTGGGGGTTGGAGAGATCAGGGTGCATCAGGCGTGTTCAGCCCAGGTGTTTGCATCCCCAACAAGCCCCTCACAAGAGCTGCTGCAGGCAGGAGGTAGATGTTGCATCCCCACAAGGACCAACCAGCCTAATTCCCCCCCGCATGCCCTGTCTTAGTTGAGCCCAGCCAAGAGAGACGTAGAAACCAGCTCTATTTCTGACTCAGGGCTTTCTTCTTCTAGGAGGTCATCACGCAGGACTACACGCGCCATCACCCGCAGCAGCTCAACTCCCACATCCAAGCACCAGTGTACTCCTTCCCCGGGGCCACGTGCCCCGTGCTGGACCTGCGCCGCACCCCCAGCGAGGCGTATCTGCAGCAGCAGGAGCACGCAGTGGCCTCCCGCATCTCCCCGCAGAACGAAGGTGGCAAAAGGTGAGGTCAGAGAGTCCAACCAAAGCTGGTGCAGATGGGTTTCTGCCCACCTGCTGTGTCAGTCTGAGCTCAGACAGGCCAGGGCTACCCATGGTGAGGAGCCAGGTGGGGTCCTTGGCTACCTGGCACCTCAGCAAGGCAGTGCATAGGGCATGCTGGCATTCGGCCTTGCAGTATTTCTGCTGCCCAGCTCGAGGCTCAGAGGGATCACTTGCTTACGCAGCCCAGAGTGTAAAATTGCCTCCTGATCTGGGCATTCTTCCCCTCTGGTAGTGCCTCTCTTGCCACTCCTGTTGTTCTAGAGATGCTCTCCAGACCCCCTTAGAGTCTGTTTGTGATGCCCTTCTCCATCTGGCTGGTGTCACAGAATTGGTAGGGTGGGAAGGGGCCTCTCAGATCATCCAGTCCAACCCTCTGCTGAAGCAGGTCATCTGGAAGAGGTTGTCCAGGGCTGTGGCCAGTTGGGTTTTCAGTATCCTCCACTGATGGAGACTTCAGCACCTCTCTGGGCAACCTGTACCAGCATTTGAGCACCCTCACAATAAAAAAGTGTTTTCTTGTGTTGGGACAGAATTTCATGTGTTCTGGTTTGTGCCCGTTGCCTCTTGTCCTGTCAGTCCTCAGTCCCTTGCAGGTCACCATGCAGTGACCTTTCAGACTACAGATGGTTCTGAAAAACCCAAAGCAATGTGCTCTCCATTAGTTCAAAGTTGCTTTTATCTTCATCATTCTCAGGAAATCAGAAGCTTGTTAGACACGTGTCCTGTCAACTGCAACCATCCATTTCAGGCACCACCCACCTGTATTTCTTTTAAAGTCACTTCCAAACCCTTGTGCTGATACCAGCACAATGAAGCTCTGATGGCTGTTGTGTGGAATTAAACATTAGGTGTGAGGACAGGGTCTGTCTTCCCACTCGAACACCAACAGAGACCCAGATGTCTCCAGGAAAGAGCAGTGTCTCCAAACTGGTGGTTCCTTGTCAGTAAATGTGATTATTCTTCCCAGCTCTGCCTGCTCCTAGAGCTGGCTTTATAACGTTAGGAGAGAGAGCCCAGCCCTGGCCACCCAGCGACTGAAAAAAGTGGGGAGAAAAAAAAAGAAACCGCAGAAAGAACAAAGATGTAAATTCCCAGAACTTGCCGTGAGGAATTCCTCACAGGCTCAAGCCTGG